AGCGCACTATTTTAGGAATGTGTCATTTGTTTCGTAGTGCTGCCAAAAACATAATGTAGAATATCCAGTTCACCTGTTACAATCCCACAATGCACTGCAGTAAGTACAGCTTTAGCAAAAGGTTCTATGAAAAAGGTTTCATTATCTCAAATAATAACTGAACCATTCTTTTGATATAAAGAACCAGTTCTAATAGGTATAAAGACTTACATAAAACAAGGTGCCTTTCATTGGTATCATACACAATAAGAAAAATAATAACAACTAAAGTAACAGAGCAAGGGTGCCCAAACATTTTGTCTTGAGGGGGCCAAAGGTGCAGAATTTGTGTGGGGTCAAGGGCCAAAAAGACAAAACAGTACACAAATTATTACTGCACTATATTTTGTTACTTCAAAATATAAGAATATATATATGCAAAATGTCATCATTAATTTATAGTATAAAGATATGTTTGGTGAGAGGGTGGGGTAAGGCTAAATTTCTAGATGGCCAAATCAAATGTCCTCACGGCTCAACTCTGGCCTGTGCACCACATTTTGGGCAGCCCTGCAACAGATGATAAGTATAAATAACTGACCACATGTATACAGTTGTATGTGAAGTTGGCTGAATTCCATTGATTTCGTTGATTACTTGATTTGTAAGTGAAAGTAAATTCCTCTACAAGGAACACACTTCTGCACATTTTGAAGAAACATTACTGTTTTCAACGGAATATTTATATATATTTATACTTGTTTTTCCCCAATATGTTAAAATTTGTCAAAAAATAGCAAATTTATGAGTGTTTCCTGTAAAGTACGCATAAAGTTATTTTTAAAAAAATATATAATTTAACTGAAGGTGTTCGTAATTTGGCATACAACTGAATCTTTGGGGCCTACCTGGTTTTGTTGTGTGTTGAGTGTGTCTATCCCCTCCTTATCTGATAATATTAGGAGGATGGTGGTACCATTACCGTCGCTAAGCTAAGTAAACAGACAATTTAGTCAGGCTATGACCTACCGAACAAAACCAGTAAAGTTTAGTGTAGTTATCGTTGATAAAAATCACACACAGAGGTAACTTACATATTACCTAACTAGCTAATGTTAGCAAACAGAAACGTACTGACGATGTTCTGACAAACTGTGTGACCAAAACGTCTGACCTTAGCCCCCATTTGTAGGAGGAGCTCTACATAAAACTGTAGGTACATCACACAAAGCTGAAGTCAGCTTCACATTTCTTGTTCAAATTTTTCCATACTACCTTAAATAGTACTTAGGTGGAACGGAAAATACAAACAGTACGCTGGCAAACAGGAAGCTGACTTCTGCCTCGTCTAAATCGCTGTGTCAGAAAATGCGGCTGTATTGATAGCCAATCACCCTTTCAAAAAAATGCAGTGGGTGCTGCACAGTCTTTCACTGCCTTTAGGAACATTGGGACCCCAATCTGCTCTTTTGATGGCCTGGATCCATAATCTTCTGCAGTATTTGGCAAAGGGATGTGATCCCCTCGAAATATTAAATATTCTCTAAGCATCTTCTCTGCAGTTTGTGCAGTTTACAGCACAACTGCTCCTTGTCCTTGTTGTTTTATGCTGTGAAGACTGCCGTAAAAAGTGCTGCCTTCTGTTGCTTTCTGACACCCAGTTGTGCGCACAGCTCTCTGATGACGTTGCACAGAAACCTGTCTATAGGAATCCCACACTTGGCACAAAAGGGAAGGTGGGATCAAGCGTGTCCAAAAATATCTGACTGTAGCAAAACTGTAAAGGTGAGCATGGCCTTGGAGAGAGTGATCTGCTAACGTAGGCTCCAAGAAGTGTCACAAAGCCCCGAACAGGGCTGGGGGGCCCCGGAGAAACTCAAAGAGAAACTGAAAGATCAATTTTCATCAGAGCTACAACAAGGCTGCACTCCAGCCAGTGATCGATAAGGCGCTGATTAGCGTTCCACGCTGATATTAACAGGACCACGGGCTTAAACGATTCTTTAACCGCACCAAGCAAAGGCCTTGAGCTTTGCCAAATCAATCAGATGATGTTTTAGAATGTGTGTATATATGTATATATATATATATATATATATATATATATATGTGTGTGTGTGTGTGATTTTCACAGGGCAAGAACAAAACTGCAAAGTGTACAAACTTGCCTGCACTCATTAGGAAATCCAACTTGCGCTGATCTAGCTGCTCCATTTCATGCTGGCAAAAGGGCAAAGCTGCTGTTTCAGAAAAGCTGCATAGTTTCATCATGATACACAGCTGCATAGGGCTTATTTATTTAAAAGGTAGCAATCCAGCATGAAATTACTAAACTGGATTGGTACTGTGCAAAAGTCTGAGACCACACCTGCATAAGAAAGAAGAAAGTCAAATAAAAAATGAGTAAAAAAAATACAGGAAATTCCAAAACTGGAGTTTTAAAATTATTTAAAAAAATACTGAGAAAATGGGAGTCCTAGCAACCATACAAGACCTGGTAGACCACCAAAACTGTCCTCATCAGATAAACAGTACATAAAGTTTTCATCTTTGAGAAAATCAAGCTTCACTCTTGCTTAAGATCTGAAATCATCCACAGGTGTTTCTATCCATACTTCCACTGTGAGAAGACCCAAAGCTATGAGTCTGAAAGGATGTGTACCTCTCAAGAAGCCCTTACTAAGAAAAGAAAATAGACACAAAAGACGAAAATCTGAAATCCAAACAAAGAAGCTGCTGGTGTTCTCAGAACAATGGACTGACCACCAGACTTCAACATCACTGAGTGTGTTTACATAGATGTGAGAAGCAGAATATGCAACCAACTTCTAAGACTGAACTTTGGGAGTGTGGAAAAATATCCCTGCAGATTTCTTTGAAGAACTGAAAGTAAGTCTGCCAAAGAGAATGAAGGCTGTAATAAAGGCCAGCCTTGACCATAAATTAAATAAATGAAAGTTCTCTGACACAGTAATGTTCCATTAATTATTTGTTTATTTATTATTTGCTTCTGCCCTGAAATATAATTTATGATAAATTTGTCATCAACTGACTGAAATAAATAAAAATAATGTAAATAAATAGAAATTAACTAATATAAATAAATAGAAAACAAAGAAACAGGAAAAAGGGGTTTTGAGGACTATGCAGACTGCTGATTGAGATGGGGATAATAAAGGGAGGTGGGTGTGTGTGGTGTGTGATTGTGGGCTGGGGGAGGGTGGGTGTAACTGGTTAGTGTCACTGAGAGTGTGAACGAGCTGCAGGAGCGGTGCCAGCTTTAGCCTGGAGCTCATTATGATTCAGACTGGCCCGGCAAACGCTGAGCCGAGCTTGAGGGGCGCGGGGCCACTCTCCTGCGGGACTCTGTGTAATCTTCTGTCACACCAGCTGGGTCCATATTGATGAGAATATTAGACCTGCGCAGACAGAGCTCCTCTCTGGCGTGTTCCATTAAGCAGCAGCAGCTACTAATAGGGGCGTTGCTTGTTGCTTGTGTGCACGGATAGAGAGGAGGCCGATTCTGGGTTTAATCCTTTAAGTTCTGGTATTATTTTTCAGTTAGTACAGGTCTATTATTCACTTCAGTACTAGGGAATTTTTTGACAGCAACTCTGGAACTACAATGTAAGGTATGTAGCTTTGAGAGACAGGATTTGTCTAGACCTATAAAGGGGTTATGATCTGACAACTGCTTCATAGAGCATTACAAAAATGCATTAGGAGTCCTGAGGTCGATTATGAGGAGGGAAAACCTGTACCAATCTGCAAACAATGGGTAAGATGAGGGGAGTAAAAGAAAAACTCTTTTTTTCCCTTATTTGTGCCTATGGGGAAGCAGATGCAGAGGACAGCAAAGCCCCAAACACAAGGGGCAGAAAGGCGTCATGGGGTAGTGTAATTTACATTAGGAAACAAAAGGAAAAAAAAAAGAGAGAACTCCCTTGATACCTATCATTATGGTGTCTACAACCCCTCTTACAACCACACCGATATAGACATGCACACTCAGAGCCTCCCTCTTTCCCTTCCTCCACCCCGTCACTCGCTTCCCTGGGCAACGGGCGAAGCTGCTGGCCCCGTCAGCGCTCCCGAGGGACCCGCGTGAGTCGGGACCTTCCGGATTGATTGGAATAAACATTGGTGTTGACTCGCTCGGCTCTTCAAAGAAGATGAAACAACTGCCCTCACTCACACCTGTTCTCCAGCCGTGACGCACGTGCTCACCCCGCGCTACCATCATCCACTGAACCGCCCCTAACCCTCCCTCCCTCCTTCTCTCGCTCGCTCACCAGTAACAGCGACAGTGCAGGGTTATAAAAATAACAACGAAAAACCAAAGCGGATGATAAATATATCATATACCATCATAAAGCTGCCGCAATGTGGTGCGCGTATATGTGCGCATGCCTGCGCGAGACGTGTGTTTTGCGAAGTGCGATGGTGGGGGTGCAACGAAGGACACATACAAGGGTGGAGGGGGGGTGACAATGGAAAAGAAAGGGGTAGTCTAAGGATGGGTGCAAGTCTAAATAAGAATTTATTTATTAAAAAAAACAGTAAACAAACCCAGCAGTCTTGTAGGGTAATAAAAATGTATGTATTTATAAAAGTAAAATAATTAATTCATAAAAACATCCATTAGCTTTGCTAGCTCTGTCTCTTTCTCTCTTGTCTGTTTGTTGTGCCATGTTTTTATTAATAAGGCTCACATCAGAAAGTCAGACAGAAGCTGATGGGCAGATGAACGGGGGAAAAGAAAAGGACGGGAGATTTTCAGAATTATAGCCGGCATCGCTCCCTTTCCCTTCTTCTCATTTCTCCCTTTTCCCTCGCTCCCTCCCTCATTCCACGACAAATAGGTCCCAGAGGGAGGACTTTTGGATGGATTGGATGAATATTTCCCCTTTCTCTCTGCCTCTCTATGTCTCGCCACTCCTTTTTTTCTTTGAGCAGAGCGAGAATATGGCGTCGGGGAATGAATTAATTTTAGGGTGTGGGGAGTGTTGTTTTTTTAGTACCTGCCACGATGCTGGCCAGCTGCTGTGTCCGGGCGATGGGCTGGACGCTGCGTGCCCGTGCGATGGCCGCCGCGATTTTGCCGGCGTGCCGCTCCTCCCCGTACGCGGCTAGTATGGACGCAAGCGCCCGCTGATCCAAGGCGTTGACGGCGTCAGCCGCGCGGGGCATGCCGGGGTACCTACGCACAAAGAGGAGCCCAATTAAGCCCACTGACGTCACAGGCTCCTCGCCGACAGGAGCCAAAGGCTGACAGCCTCTTAGACACACGGTGAAAGAAAGGAAGAAAAAAAAAGCCCTCCCTCCCTCGCTCCCTCCTCCTCCTCTCTTCCTCCCCTTCCCACTCTGGGAGATGTGGGCTCGAGATCTATAAAAAGAGTGTGTGTATGTGTGAGAGAGAAAGAGAGAGAGCACAAATATATACATCTCAAACCCAAAATGTCTAAAATAAACCTCCAGTTCATTCATCTTTCAGCTTTAAATGGTAGTGCTACCCATTATGGTACCTATAGCTCTGAAAGGGAGAGAGAGAGAAGGAGAGAGAGAGAGAGAGAGAGAGAGAGAGAGAGAGAGAGAGAGAGAGAGACACAGACAGAGAGACATACATTTATATGCAAGCACTAAATGAAAACTGTTAAGTATTACACACAATTAGCAAAGTTTCACACCTTTTGTGCTAAACCTGAGTGCCTCATAGTTCCGCCCCTTTCTACATCAATTATTATTGTTGGCTATTATGATGTGAAAATAATAAAGAAAATTCAGAAAAGTTTCAACTACAGTACTGAAATAGTACAGTGCTAGTACTAAGGACTAAGAATAAGCTGTGTGATTTGACAGTAAGTATCTATTTGCTCTACAAAACACTACTATTAGAACAAATACAAATAATAATAACACAATAAGTAGTAATTTTATGTATGTCAATATTTAACCATTTCCAAATTAATTGTAGTTCTCATCCAACATCTGGTTCAGCTAATCAATACTTCATTATGCTACATCAAGTGTGCTGGTGTTTAAATGGAATAAATCCATGTGATGGTTGGAGGTGTCCAGGAGACATGCGGAACCAAACTTTGTTCTTCAAACTAGCTTACAACATATTAACTACATTTTCAAACTACTAGGTTCTTGTCGCTTTTTACTGTATTTATGTTTTTTTTGGCATTAATTCTAATAATATATAGTTTTACAAGCAAAACACACTAACTGCCAATGTGTATAGACTAAGACTTTTGCACAGTCAGGAACTGTAATTTAAAGGTACTCTGACAAAGCTGAATTCAATTGAGTGTAAATTATCCAGCACCACTGCTGATGTTCCTGTGTGGGGCAAAAAATAAGCCCATTCTAGTTTCATTTTTGCACCATTTTGGTACCAAAATCCTAAAGTTTCTAGCTCAAACAAGAGTGAAAAGTGTCTAAGTATACCAACTAGAAAACTTCTAAACTGATTATACATATCTATGGATGAACGACAAAATCGGAATCATATCAGTGTCAGCAGATAATAAAAAAAAAATGACTGTATTTGTTACTATGTGGAAATGTTCTATTTGCCTGTAACGCTAATCCAGGTAGATGTTGTCCCAGATATGTACACAAAAAATATCGGATATCAGCATCAGTCCACAATTCCCATATCGTTGCATCCCTCTATGTGTAAATATTCATCCTCACCCATTCATGTTTTACATACATTCACCATATCCTTTCATCACATAACTCAATTTTTTCTTGAGAGAATGTCAAACAATGCCTTCCAGTGATGTTCACAGGAAGCCTTGAGCTGTAGGCACTGCCATGCCCTCTCCTTTGACGCATCGTGATTACTCTTTCAAGATGCACGAGGAAGTTCGCAGCATCACGGTTTCGTCAGTTTACGTGGGCACAACAAAAACGGTGGAAGCGTTACTCAGACGTGGACAAACCGTCCTTTCTTTTCCTTCAAGGTCAGCGGAGGTTGGATGTGAGTGTCGGGAAAAAAAAGTTTAGTTGCATTTGCTAGCATTGAGTGATGTGAAGATAAGGATTAGCATTTCTCGACTCTGTGGGCTGGTCTTCACTCGACCTGTTTAAAACCCTCTCTCTCTCTCTCTCTCTCTCTCTCTCTCTCTCTCTCACACTCACTCACTCACTCACTCACTCACTCACTCACTCACTCTCTCTCTCTCTCACTCACTCACTCACTCACTCTCTCACTCTCTCACTCTCTCTCTCTCTCTCTCTCGCCCCCAGAATAATTCTGGAGTCAGTCATGGTGGGTGGGTTATCCAGGTCATTATCACACCACAAACTTCCCACCAAATTTCTTCATAAAAGTTAGAGAGGAACCTCCATCCATTTTTCAAAATAACGAGGGGAACATTAAAGGAGTGAGTAATGAGGGGCTTGTTAGATGAATAGATATTAATTATAGCCGGTAAAAGAAGCTGCCGCGGGGGACACCTTTGTTTACAGGTAAACAAAGCAAATGGCTGGTATTAGCACTGGCAAACAGAGCACCGTTCTTCTTTGTGGTTTTTAGTTTGTTTTCCTTTAACTGTCTGTGCCAGCCATGCACAGAACAATGTACTGCTGTGTGCAGTGCCTGTGTGCATGTTTCCATGGGTGACAAGACAGTGAACCTGCTATCAGTGCATCTGCATACATCATAATTACAAAGCAGCAGTCAAAAGTTTGGATACCCTTGAATGTACATGTTTGAACAGATTATCTAAAGGTTTAAGCTTAATTACTTGAAATTTGTAAACAGACTACTGCTCAAAAGCTTGAAAGTGCTTGCTAGAGTTGTTTGCAAAAGTTTGGGTGCCCTGGTCCAATGGCATTTTGCTGATTTTGAACACATCTTTTACAGAGAACACATTTCTACACATTTTAATGCACAATTAGTGTTTATTTGCTAAGCATACAAAAGTGATGGCACAAGTTCTTGTTATGTTTGTTTCTCTCAATATGTTAAATTCAGCAAATAAACAGAAATTGTGTACCAAAATGAGTAGAAAAATGAAAATGCCATATTTAATTTTTTGCCCTGTAGAGGATGTGTTAACTTAATTTTCACAAAACACATCATGTGACCAGGGGTGTTCAAACATTTGTATATGACTGTATATTCACAAGTCCAGTGATTTTACATACTATAATAACTTATTTAATATACATTTAAATTTTAACAACTATTCAACAAAAGGTATTTTAAGTTTTATTCAATAATTCAAGAATTCTGTGAATACAAAGCCAAAACTTTTAATATTTATTTACTGTATTTTTTAAGTAGTGTCAAAGTTAACATATTAATAATGCACGATAATGATTATCATCACTGTTTTTTTTTAAACACTGTTGACGCATTTTTCTAGTTTAACCCTGTGAACTGCAGTTCCACACTGACGCCCAGCTGTTTGCATGCTGTATGTTACTGTGATTAAATGCGTGACTGCAGTTCTCACTTTCAAACACAATTTTAAAAGGCAGGGTTCCCTGAGGCCCACTTCAAAAACTTCATAAAAATTAAAGTTATTTACAACAACTGCAGTCATTTGTGATTTGTTTGTCACACATTTGAAGTGTCATTTACAAGCACATCACTGATGCTGCAACATCGGTGATTCGGTTACTATGCTGGACAGTGATCGTGGGAAAACTTTGGATAAACCAACAAGCAGCAAACTAACTAACAGACATGTAGCCATTGTTGCTCTTACTGGAAGTAGATGATGAAAACTGGAAACTGCATTCACGTTACTTTCATGCTCACCCTGCGTTCATGTGAGGTTCATGTTCAGTTAGGCATTCAACATGATGAAAAGTACTATCACTGAATTATTTAAGATAACAAATACATTCTGCTTATTGTTTCTACTCACATAACTATGAACTGCTCTTTGTCAAATTCAAGGAAATAAGAAAACTGCTTTTCTTAATTTTTATTTACAGCTTCCTAGCTTTCTACTAATCATCTGAAATTTTATCAGTTAATGTATAATTTATTAAAAGAAATAATTTGAGAAGTTGCACAGGATACTATATTACGTCATTTTACATATGTATCGGCAACCAAATTGGTTTTATATTACTGAAAACAACAGCGGTTCCAAACTTTTGAATGGAAAAGTAAACCGTTAAGTTGATGCCTATGAATAAAAAAGAGGAAAAAACTCCATCCAAGTAGTAAATATCATTTAGAACTTTTATGGAAGCTAGATTTAGAAAATGTTGAACCACCATCATTACAATCATTAGATCATCCTAATTCCTATGTGTGCCTCATTAAAAGTTAATTAGCGGAATGCTCATGCTCGTTAATGCATTTGAGCCAATCAGATGTGTCTAAATAGCTCTATCTGGTATAAGGCCAGTATTTCTGCTTTAAGTGCTTTCATAATTATTCTAAAATGTGCTTTAAAAAGTAAACAGAAAAAAATGATAAAAGTAAAAATAAAACACTTCTATAAGTAGGTGTGTCTAAACTTTCACTAGTAACATATAGGAACGTTCTTCAGCTGATTTACCTGTAGAGTTTTGGGCTAACTTGGTACATATGTGATTGGCTGAAGTAAGTTTCACTGGCTTCTATTCACGCTTGTTATGCAAGTTTAGAGTCTCGAAGGCTGGAGCTCATTTTTTGTGATGGTGTTTTCTCTCCATTAGAGAAATCTCCTCGCGTGTGGGCGGCTCTATCACCTTGAAACGCGTCTGAACCCAAACAGCCCTGCTGTTTAAATGAGGGGAGATTACCATCACACTCACACACCTACTCATCCAAACGCATGAGCACACACACGCAGCAACACATTTCTCGCTCTTCCTTTCTTCCTCTCTTTCACTGCCCCTCTCCATCGCCTCTTTTTCCTGTCTCATCTCCTCCTACATCCTCAAGAGAACATTCCTGATATGCCTTATAAATCTCCAAGGCCAAAGCTCACGCTTGGTGTAACAGGTTTTTGGTATACAGTATTTATATGTAGTGTTGAGCGGGTGAGCTTATCTTATCAGTACAACAGCAGATGAACTCTTGAGGACTCTAGAGTCCTGCTTTCCGAATTGCTTCTCTCTGCGGTACTTCTGTGCACCTCAACAAGCATTAATCAGTTAACGTCTTCCACCTGTGCAGATTTCAAAATTTATCATACAGTCTCATCACAGATAGATGGAGGAAAAGACATACAGTGCCGACTGTAACGAATCTCATTCCCAAAGTACCACTTGTTTTAAAAGTCCTTTAACAAAATGGATAGCTCCGGGACTAAAATCCGATTGGCTAGACATGCTTAAAGCCACTGAAAAATACTCAAGAAACTACACATCCAGTTGCATGTGAAGGTTTGAAGACCTCCCAGTGCAATTACATGTGTTGTTGATGTTCTAGGTAAAAATAAGTATCACATCCTCTACAAGGCTTCAATGTGTCATTTTACTGCTCATTTTAGTGCACAATTTCTGTTTATTTGCTGAGTTTAACATACTAGAACAAAAATAAAACAAAGTCTAAAATGTGCCAGAACTTTTGCATAGACCACATTTTATGTTTTCTTTCCCCAATATATTACATTCATCAAATAATCAGTTAGTGTGCATTAAAATGTGCAGACTTGCTCTCTGTAAAGGATATGTTGACTTATTTTCACTTATAAAATCAACAAAACAAAACATCATTTGACCAGGGACGCCTAAACTTTTGCATAAGACTGTATAACCCCAGACAATGATTGTATTGATGACCACGTCTGTCAGTCAGTCAGCCAAACTGTCCCTAAGTGCTATTTTCTCTGTTATGTGAAGGAAAAATTCAGAACAAACCTGCAGTGAGAACAGCAATGGAAACAAATTAGTCTGAATTATTAGGCTAAAGCCCTGTTTGAGCTGGATTAGTTTTACCTAATACTTCTTAATTTCAATGATTACTGATGGGATCCGTGAAATTATTACAGAATGAATCTTTCATGTCCATAGTTGTGGGAGGGTAGGATGGCTGGCACCAAATACTGAAATGAGATGTAAAGTCTCTTCCCTTGTCCAGGGTCAAGATTATTATTACTATTTTTTTTTTTGGTGGGGGGTGGGGGGGGGCAACATTATAGCCACAAAACATGTTGTTATTGTTCTGAAGTATGGCGCCTGTCACGTAATCCTGAGGTAAACATCTGTGTGATGACGTTTCGACCCGGGCTACTTAGGGCAACTCAGGGAAATCACATAGATTCTTTATCCTATATGAATCGGCCAGTCAAATCACACACACATTACGTTGCCAGGCCTCCTGTGGCTAAAATAAATGCTTGAATAGGTGTTAAGAAAAGTTTTGTATTAAACTACGCGGAAGACCATACATTATTACTTTACTGTGATGTCAATTCGAACAGGACTACTATTACTAAAGGAGCTCCAAGTTTGGCGAAGTAAAAACTATGGACACTGCAGATTCATACTGGATTAGAATCAAACATTGTTGGTAATCTCTCAAAATATAACACCTCCCCAGGTAAAACTAAACCATCTTAAACAGGGTTAAGTTAACTTTTCTTAGCTGCTGACAGCTTGATAAATTAGTCTGATTAAACAGAACTGTGTCGTACTGTACCAGATTAAACAGGACTCATACTGGCTATTAAAAACATTCTGTGTAAACATAAATAATAATGCACTTGTACGCATATCATCATATGTAATGTTTCATTAAAAGTTTGCTAAAAGATCTTGCGTCTTCCTCAGCATGTATCGCACCGACTACCACTTGTGTTAGTTTTTGCTTTAGCTCATCTGACAGGGCAGCTTTTTAAATAATAAAATCTTTTCAAATGTAGTCTGTGTGCTTGTAAATGTTCTTTTGTGCTACTGAACATTTTAGACTGTTATCACAAGTGCTACAGAAGCTGCAAGACGGCCTGAACTAAAGTTTGACAAACATATCAACAGTAACTCAAGCAAGCACCTGTCTCCATCCATTCTCATGTCCAAGGGTCCGTCCTTGCTGAGTGAGAAGCCTCTCTCTGCTGTGTCCATCTGCATGGAGGAGTAGCCAGCATCCAGCAGGGCAGCGTCCACGCTACCATTCCCCAGACCGAGCCCTTCCAGGAGCTCCTTCAACTCACTGAAGCGTCCAAGCACTGGTTTCACCTGGCCTCTACCCAGAGAGAGAGAGAGAGAGAGAGAGAGAGAGAGAGAGAGAGAGAGAAAGAGAGAGAGAGAATGAGAGATAGACAGAGACAGAGACATCTGTACTGGCATCTCTGTAACCCAATTTGTGGCAGCTTTATAACCTCAGTGATGTCTTTGTAATCTGACACAAGCTGGTTGTAAATTTTAAATTTTTAAGTTCCAGATGACGTATTTATAACTTCGTATCTTTCTGTAAACACTGGTTTGGTTAATTTTATTTATCTAATTTAATTATCTCATATTCTTGTTATATTTAGGTATTAGGAAGGTCCTAATCTAGTTTTCTTTTTTCATATTCAAAGCTGCCAAGAATGCTACAGTAAAATGTACAATCCTTTTGGTACATGTGCTGTGTAATGCACTCTGAACTGCTTTTAAGGTTTATGAACACATTTTGAAACATCCATTTTATAACGTTTTTATTATTGCTTTATGATCCAACCTGACCGATTCAATCATTTTGGCTATCGCATACTTTAAACACATTCTGAACTGATATTGATTTTTGGGTATGTATGCAAAATTTACTTTTAAAGTGTCTAGAATATGCTACTTCATACATCCAGCTTGTCTAATCTGCATTAGGTGGCATGCTTTTTCTTGACTTTGAATTTGCTGCTATATTTATCACTAATGGTTACTTTAGCATTTTTAGCTAATTTATCTGTTTTAAAAATGCTTATCATAATCTCAGTAGAAACACTGGCACTGCAGATTGTACAAACCCAACTTCAAAAAAGTTGGGACAGCATGTGAAATGAAAAACAGAAAGCAGTGGTTGGTTAATTCTGTTTACATGCATTAAATTAAACACAGTACAAGAAACACAGTAATTGATGTTTTACCCAATAAACTTTAATGATTTTTGTAAATATACGATCATTTCAAATTTGATGCCTGCAACACGTTCCAAAAAGCTGGGACAGGAGCATGTTTACCACTGTTACATCATCTTTCCTTTTAACAGCACTCAATAATTGTTTGGGGACTGAAGACACAACTTGATCCAGTTTTGAAAGCAAGACTTTTTGTCATTCTTCTTTTATGCAAGTCTTCAGCTGTGCAACCAAACAAGGCCTTTGTTGTCATATTTTGAGCTTAATAATGCAACATATGTTTCAATGGGAGACTTCAATGGGAGTTCTAGACTGCAGGCAGGTCGATCTAATCATAGGCTCAGTGTTTCCACTACCACTAAACAAAATTACATACCGCCTACTTGGAGGAGGAAAAACTGCAAGATTTCACACATGCTAGTATGTTTGCAGCCATAATTCGTTCATATGAATGCTTCAGACCATAATAAACATATTCGACACAGCTGAAATTGCTACTTGTGAAGATGGGCTACTTGTGAAGGCAAATATACGTAAAAACCAAAATGTAGCCATATAAAATAAAAAACAAGATGCATCAGAATTAATAAAAATCATTTTATAATCGCATCCTATCACCTTGAATCAAAATCTAATTGAATTGTGAAGTGCCTACAGACTTCCATCTCAGTTAAAGCATGCTTCACTCGGCTACAAGACCAGTCTTTCACATCAGATCTGGTCATCTACAGTAGGAATAGTGTCTTTGCCTTTTAAAATAGCATAGTATTCAATTACTTCACTAAGCCTACATTGTTCCCAATGAAGAATTAATGAATAGGTAACAAAGATGTCACATGGAGCTAATTTCTCTTCAGGTTTCATGTGTGCTGCTTATTAATCTATGAGTCATGTGCTGGCACAAAACTGTAGTTCCTAGCACTGCTACGTACACTAGCCATCACTGGATCAGCAGTATCATGAGCATCCTAGCTATAGAAATCAGAATAAGTAGGACTGGCTATTTCTGTCACATCTTTTACTGACTGCCCACTGATATGCATGGGCTCAGGATGGAATTCTATTTAAAGCAGTAAGATATTTGTTTTTGAAAGTTGGCTAGGGGCCTGTAATATATGCAAGTCATGCAAACTACCCTACACTAAACACACTGCCAGAGTGGACACCGAATCAAATAATTATTAGGATTTATTAAACACCCAAACCAGAAACCAGGAGTCTAATGAGGCATCTCGGTGACCTAATTCCAAAGAATGATAAAGAAAGCTGCTATACAGAACTGGCATCTTTGTAACCTAATAAAATACTGGTGTTTTCATTACTCAAACCACTAAGATGTTTTATTATGAATTATGAATTGAGGTTTCTTAATATCAAACCTAAACATATAGACACTACATTTTTGTGTAATTATTTACAAAGAGATTACCAGAATCTTTTTAAAAGATGTTTGTTTAAAAATATAACATTTTTCTAACATATTAAAAAAGTAACAAAACTTTTGCTAAACAAATCAATAACTGACAAAAACACTGTAAATGAAATGAACAATGAGTCATACAGAGCGATCTGTCACTGTATGTCATACTTTTATCTATAAAAATATAAAAAATAGCACAGGTAAAAATAGTAGTAGTCATTTTGAAACCAGAAATTAACTTCTGTTCATTGTGTCAGAAAATAGTCTGAAACTTTTGAAATTACAGAAATTTCAAACATTTTTGACTGATGGCATTTGGCGTGACGGGACAATTATTTAAATTCAGATCATTTTTGGCTGAGCCATTAAAAAGCTTTAAAGTCATGACAGCTTGTTGGAAATTCTTGGAGTAAAACACTAAAAAGTGATGAAGCAGCTCGCTGTTTTCTGTTCTGATCTATAAAGCATCTCGTTGCAGTTTAAAAAAAAAGATCGTCAAAACTGATTTACAGCAATTTCATAGTAACATAGGACCAAAGGAGAGGTTCTGAAGCTACAGGGGGAGCAAATGATTAAGTAAGAAAATACAGAAAGGTAGCAAGATTGTTCAGTACTCCTGCACTAACTTCAGGGTGGCCTCAGTGTCCGCAGTCTCACTAAGAGGGAAGGACGACAGGTGCAAAGCTACTTTAACGTGGAGCTGGTTACCCAGTTGCTAAGGTGGGCATTCATGACTATTGCAGTTCATAAACTGCTGCACATGAGAGAGAGACAGAGAGAGAAAGAGGGAGAGACCCAATAATATGCACCCTACAGGGATGGTAACAAAATATCATTCCATTTGTTTATCCTCCTGGAGAGATGGGTGGTGGTAGACAGATATGCTGCAGCATTCGAGTTAATTCAGCACAGGTGCACGTGTCTGAAAGCATGCGTGCACACACTTGCGCACACATGCATACAACTTAGCGTGTAGATGAGTAGTATGGAAGTTAATGGAGACGGTTTTATTTTGGGTTGGATGTGGAGGTGGGAAAGTGACGTGCGCACTGACGCTGACTCCTTTTCATCCTTAATCATTCAGATGGACACGTGGGCGTCTGGGTTCGTCTCTCTCTCTCTCTCTCTCTCTCTCTCTCTCTCTCCTTTTACATTCCTCTCTTTATTCACTTTCAGCCTTCGCCAATGCAGTTAGACATGATCACATGAATGGTCATTGTAGTTAAATCATATTCCAATCTAGTCTTGAAGTGGACCACCTACCTTAGCTTTTCTCTTTTTCTAACCCCCCCTCCAACCTTTCTGCTAAGCAGCCATACATTTTTCATGTGACCTTTTGTAGTTGGAGCATGAGTGGAGCATGACCCAGGTAAGAAGCTATAGATCATGCCAATCAGACGAGAAGAAGAAGGAAGAAGCTGCTGCTGCTTTTGGGGATAAGCAATATCTCCCTACACGGGCAGACGGCACACCCATTAACGCTCCTACATCCCTCTAGATTCCCCTGTTTATGCTATGAAATACCTCCTTACATTTTCTGTCTGTTTAGGTCATGTGTAGCTCATCTAAAAGTGGATAAATTGTGTGGAAAGTGCGCATCCAAACTTACAAACGCTTCCACATCTGTGTTTGGAAGTAGAAGAAAAGATATGTGGACTCTTGCGGGGACAGTCTTGTTTCATCCTTAACATTTTTGCCATGTTTTTGTCATTTTCTGACAATGAAGCAAACAGAAAAAAGTTGTAGGCTTGAAGGTACAGAATGAACATTAAAATGCAATTCATTCCATAAGCAATTAAATAATTATGTCATGTAAATTTAATGTGTAGCAAGATGATCAATACTCTTCTAAACCTAAAAACCAACAAAAGAGTTTTGTGAAGCTGTAAAGGCAGTGATATTCACTAAGAGCCTACTCTGTGGTAAAAACTAAAAGAGAATTTAGAACTAAAACTAAAATTGCCATCCTGGTTCCTGAAAAGGTTATATCAGTATTCATGAACACCACCAACCAGAAGGATTACAAACATGCTGGTGTTACTTCCAACGCATCTCCTACAGCAGAAGCCTAGCAGCATTGCTAGGCTTAGTGTGTTTTACTCTGCCCACCCCCACATCCCCAAAATCCCATTGCAGCATGGGAGTCCCCTCCTCTCCACCCAAACACATTTCCAAGAGAACAGGGAGTGAAGGAGAAATCACCACCTCCGCCTCCCCCTCCTGTTCTGCTTCCTCCGCAAGCAAAGGTCCTCCTCCTCAGCCAGGGGGTGCTACCCAGCAGGCTTTGGGGTGCCTGGGCCTGCACGCCCACGAGTAAGCTGAAAGATCAAGGGCGAGGGAGCAGCTCGGTAAGTCTGCGCCCACGGCTGGGGCTTCCCTCACTCCTCTACGCCAGGGAGTGGGCTTTCTCCCTCACTCTCTCTCTCTTTCAGCACCCTCATTAATTTGTTGGAAAATCTATAGCAAGGCATTCTCCTGCCCGCCCACGCACACTCTCGATGGGAGCCGTAAACCACCCACCATGGATCAGTGGGTTTGGAGGGAGAGAGGAAGCATCCCAGCCTGCTTGAGCTTGGGGCGCCCCCTCTTTTCATGTCAATATGCAGCCAATTTAAAGCCTCAGAGGTGCCAAACTCCCCCCTGCACTATTTTCCACACCTCAAGCCTCTCATACCTTACTTTTATTGCTTTGTTTTCCAATAATTTTCA